TGTATGCAATGTGTTAATTATTGAAACTGTCCTACCAATTTGGTTTGAAACTGTCTCATTGCTATTTGTTTCTCAATAAAATTATGGAAAAAAATAGACACTATAACAACCATTGTTAATTAGCTATTCTTGTTTTGAAAATCAGTGTCATATGTATTGTTGTGTGTTACCCTGTTTCTGTCTTTGCTTCCACTATTTGTTTTTGCTTTGGTTTTTTTCTTCAAAGTACAATAAAATAATTTTTTAAATTTTTGAAATAAAAAAAAAATTAGGGTTGTTTGTTAAAAATTCAGTAAGAGAAGTTTGAGCAGTGCTGCCTCCGCTTCTCACACTTAGCATACGGAGTCCCCACATCTGATCCCTTGCGCTTCCAATGTCGTGGGATGTCTCCTTTATTAGGAAATGATTTTCCATGAGGTGCGCCAGGATGTAGTCCTGTCATTGAGGACAGGGTGACACTGTAGAGCAGCAGGAGGGAGCAGTGGCCCTTTCCCTCCAGCTGGATGTGAAGCCCAGAGCTCCTCAGCAGGGAAGAGCAAGCCTGGACAAGACTCAGCTTCTCCTCCAGGACTCACATGGGGCCACAGCTGCCACCACCCTGCTGTGGCCAGAGGGAGCCCCACCCTTTGTCAGTCTAGCTCTGGAGTGGATGAAAACTCTCCTTGCACCAAAGTAGCTTTCTTTAAAATAAAAGCAATCGTATCATTCTCTATTTATAAGTACTTGGACCCTGGTGTCAGGATCATAATCCCAGACCCTGGGTAGCAGCATTTAGGTCCTTTGCAGTCTGTTCCCAGCTGCCCTTACGGCCCTGTTTCCCTCCATCCTTTGTAGCCCATTCCCCATGCAGAAATTTGTCAATGGACAAAGCCCCACAAGATGCCCAAGTCCCCTGCACCTGTTGCCCTTGGAAAACTCCTACTCATCTTCAGAGACCCAATTCACTTGCCATTAGTGAAATCTCCTCAGACTGCTTCCAGCAGCACTAACTGCCCTGGGTTCCGTAATCTTTATAGCTGTTAAGTAGTAACAAGTCATTTATTTGTTAATTTGTCTTTGTTTCCTAGAGTAACTGCTGAATAGGAGCAAATAGCACTTAGTTGAAAAAGATAACTGGACGAATATTTAGATGAATGTGTAGCTAGAACATGGTTCCCTCACTGGAGAAAGCAGGATAGTGTGAGGTGGGACTCTTCCTCCACGTCATGGGCCTACGTACGTCCTGACTCCTGCGCACACGGGCTCCTGTGCTCTGTTGCTGAGCATCTTAGTGAAGCTTATTCCAACGGTTCTTTCTCTGTGTTTTTCTCTTTTCCCAAAGGCAGTTCCTTGATGCCGGCAAGCACGTGCTCGTCGAGTACCCCATGACCCTGTCTCTCGTGGCAGCCCAGGAACTGTGGGCCCTGGCCGAGCAGAAAGGTGATGCACACCCTGTCGGTCTGAGCCCACCCTCTTCTGAAGGGCTCCTGCTCCTTCTTTATGCCTTTTTAATCCTAACCCCATTTCAGAACACTACCCTGGCTAATCTGGTCTTTTGGTCTCCTAATTCCTTCCCACACCACACTGTC